AAATTCAAAACAAACAAACCAAACTAACATACTTTTCATGTTAAAGATTATTTTTCATTATGATTTATTATGGATATTCATCCCTAGTTTTGAATTGATAGACTAGAGAGAAGAAAGCTAGTCAACACCATCCGCTGAAGACTTTTGGATTACTCTAATCCAATAATATTGGTTTGACCATCACTCTTACATTCGCGGCTCCAAAGTGCAGAGCGCAATTTTATTTTTTGTGGCAATTTGACACAAGCCATTAACCCTCGGATCCACAGTCCGACACGTTAAACCCTGGGTCACTCCCGGCTCTATTTTCATTATGAAAGTTATCGTTCAAGATCTTTCATTTATTGAGCATAAAAATATCAAGATATAACGTGTATATTTATCTCTACACTGGAGTTAGATCAGCAGAGCTGTTTATCTCTACAAACAGAAAGTCTGCTCTGTTTTACTTGCCCCCAGTGGCACAGCGGTATGTCTGCGGAATTACACCGTGGTGGGCAGAGCACAGATAGCCCTTGTGTAGCTTTGTGCATAATTAAAAACAAACAAATTACTGTTTTACTTGACTTGCTCATGTGAGCAGCGATGAACTCATTTCTTTGTTTTCTGCTTACCAAATTTTCCCAAATGTTTTGAAACATAATCTCTTCGTTCAAAGATTTTGAGCTATTAGAAATACAGTTTTCTACAAATTTACATAGGCACGTGCAGGATAGGACAGTGACACGTTTCAGTGCAAAAAAAAACTAATCATTTATCTTTTACTGGAAAGAAAAACACATGCTCTCAAAATTTAAAATTTTATTTAGAGCTCTTTTGAAAAGAGGCAAGTGTCCGTTTTCTGCCTTTGAGACATTCAAAATTTCTGGCCCTGTTTATGAGCTTTAATAAGTCGTATTGTTCACTCACCTGTTTATGTACATTAATAGGTCATACCGTTCACTTACCTGTTTATACTAGCGCTTTCATGGTTTCCCCGCAAGAGAAAAAAGTTATTAGGAAATTTAATCTTGTAGGCTAGCACGAGACATATTGTCTCCAACGACTGGTGACCCCTAGACAAATAAGAAAAAGCGGAAATAATAAATTTATTTTAGCAATTGCATGAAAATAATGACAATTTTAAGAAAGTTCTTAACTAGGCAACTGCTCTATATTTTAATATTCTTCAAATTTTTATAGAGCTCTCTGTAAAAAAAAAAAAAAAATCTGAACCATGTTCGATGACTTTCTCTCTTGGTTTTGTAAAACTTTATCAAAGAGGCCCGGCATGGCCAGGTGGTTAGGGCGCTCGACTCGCAATCTCAGGGTCGCGCGTTCGAATCCCCGTCCCACCAAACATGCTCGCCCTTTCAGCCGTGTGGGCGTTATAATGTGATGGTCAATCCCACTATTCGTTGATAAAAGAGTTGGCGGTGGGTGGTGATGGCTAGCTGCCTTCCCTCTATTCTTACACTGCTAAATTAGGGACGGCTAGCGCAGATAGCCCTCGTGTAGCTTTGCACGAAATTCAAAACAAAATAAAAAATCAAAGAAGAAATTCTTCTTAAAAGCAGCGACATAACTCCACAGGAAACGACATGTCAACTCCACAACAAAGCGA